ACACAAATTAATCATATAAATTCTTCTAGTTCTTCATACATCCTGAATATGTCATTAATGTTATAGGGCACAATTCCGGGCCTATTAGATCAAGCCTCCTATACTAGAATATAAATAACATCGGGCACATAGAGCTTATGATCGACAAAACAAATTCGTCAGTCATGTCCATCAAAATGATAAGTACTACAATTATATATATTTGTGAAAGAAAATAGTAGCTTGTTTACTAAGTTGGTCTTGAATTATATGTGCACTTAGAGGGAGGAGGTATAAAGGTCAAAAAAATATGTACTTGTAAGGATATACAATGATTTGATTAACATACATTCTTACGGGAGATAGAATGGTCTGAACAACACATGAAGTCATAAGAGTCCAAATGAATATTTAAATGAACATATAAATATATACAAAGGCGTAAGAGGTATCACTATTCAAGATTAATATTATAAAACTCTACTCAAATATAACATTTTATTGATATGCTGCAGTAAAAGATAGGATTAGGTTGTTTAAAGATGATAGAGATTCTGTAAGAAAAATACATTTGCTTGAATATAATTATAATTTTACAATCACAGGTAATACTGTGCTGCAATAAATAAATAAATAAATAAATAAATAAATACATAACTTAATTTTTACTTATAAACTATTTTAATTATATAATTTTAAAAAGTAAAATGAAATTATGTTGATTAGATTACTTTATTATTATTTCTTATGATGTAATAGTGACTTTATATTAGTATTAAAAAGATAATATTTTCCATATATATATATATATATATATATATATAATCTCTGGCTATTACACATCCAACTTGATATGACCCACTACAATATAGCTTGAGGATTCAGGCTGTGAAACCTCCTAACAAGGCAATGAATTGGCATACAAAATATTTCATGACACTTTTATTAGACATGTAAAAAGAGAGAAAAAAGGGGTCTTATCTCTTTTCATCTCCTCTACTCATCTCACAAGATCTCTCCTAGATTGTATAAACTAATGAAATGTATGGGACCCGATGTCATTAAAAGATTCATAAAATCAAATATTTTAAGAGCAATATTTTTTAGATGTCAGCTAGACCCAAATTTTGATTAAAATGAGCTTGTATATCATTACCCTACTTCAATTTTAGGGAAACTTACATTCATAGATTGAGAACTTCTATTTTTTATTTGAGTTGGGGGCTCGATAATATTAATTTTAGGGAAAATTACATGCATAGCACCCGAAACATTGTTATACATAAAATCTAACACCCAAGTGATATATTTGAACTGCCAAATCAATACATTTTTACATGCAACAATCAAACCATTGAAAATTTAATGAAAACAAAAAATATGGGTTGAGGCTTTATCATAAAATTTCTCTATTTGAATGAACTTGAAAAATAAATGAAAGAGAGTGCTGGAATTGTAAATACTAATGTTTCTGGTTTTATGCATGCAATTGGCATTTTTTTAAGCATTTAACACCACTAAGATTAGTACATCCTTTCCCAATCACAGTTCTTTTAAAGCATTATTCCAATAAATCCTAATATGAGCAATTGGTTTTTATTATTTCAAACCAAGTTTTCTGGAAATCATTCGTGCAATGCATTTCAATTGATGAAGCCAATTCAACTTGTAAAGGTTATGTGCTCCATAGAATGAAAGCGCCTCAACTCTCTAATGTATTTACACATGTTATGCTTATAAACACATAAATGTGATAAACCTATGCATGAAAAAAACATATTTCAATTTTAAAAAGTAGGGATGATGACATTTTTGATGTGCCGTCGAAGATTTGAGCACTATGCATGTAAATATGAATGTAAGTGCTAGATATTTAGATACATAAGAATTGAATGGAATGTATGTAAATACCCCCAAAAAAGAAACTAACCAACAAAAAACAAAACAAAAAAAGAAAAAAAAGACAAATAAACTAAACCAGAGTCAGTATATATATTTAGCTCCAGTTAGGGCTGTCAAAACGGCTCATTTTTCGCGAACAACTTGTGTTCAACTTGTTCTAAATTAGCGAGCCGAACACGAACAAAAAAATATTTATTTGTTCGTTCGTGTTCGACTCGTTTTGGCTCGAAATACTACTAATCAATTATATATATATCTTTGAAGAGTAGTATTTTTTTAAAAATTTAATTGATTACAAGGCTACAAAGATTTATAATCAATTAAAAGTATTAATGAAGAAAATAAAATAAAAATTATTAAATTCGATTCAAATGAGATTTTAAATCTTGCCCCAATCAATAACATCTTATGACTACGTGGTTGTCAAAAAGACTCTTTGTTCGTGAACGACCCGTGTTCCCCTCGCTAAGCAAACGAGCCGAATACAAACACAATTTTTAAGCTTGAAATATAAACGAGCCGAACATAAGCTGAGACTTGGCTCGCTTGTGATCGCTTGTGTTCGGCTCGTTTACACCCCTAGCTCCAGTTCAGGTTTTCCAAGATGGCTGTAAAACCTAAACGAAAACTCAAAAAAAATTAGCATAGTGAATCACACAGAATACCTTTCAGTTTGTATCACCATTGTTCAAAAACCAACTGATCATTAACCAGCTCAAACCTCATACATCAAAAAATGACAGTCCCTCTCCAACATACCGAATACATAAATAAATACCTAGCATTTTTGTCTCAAAAATATGGGTGAGAGAGAGAGAGAGGGAGAAAGCTTTCATTTTTTTTATCCTGAAATCAAATCTCAAAGATTACGCAGGATTACTTTACGGCCGAAGAACACGAGAATGATATAAATCAGCATCTGGAACCCAAAGTCCTTCATCAGCAGAATAATCAGAGGTACATATTATGCAATACGAGAAGGAATAAGAGGAAAAGCAGCGCGGTGAAGGTTGGATTGAGATTTCTCACAATTTACAGAAGGCTGCTTGTTTGGATTAATCCCGGGTAAACAAGCGTTAGTATCTGCATCAGCGAAGCTACTGAAGCTTGGAGATTTCCGTGCTGCTTGACAACTGCCAGAAGTTGGAGCAAGAATATGGTCAAATTAAATGTTGTAAATCCACAACGAAAAATCAATCATAGAGTAAGATGATAAGGATATCATAATTGCCAACATTATCATTAGCAAAGGGGCCTTCTGGGATCATTTTTCTATTTTATTTTTTATTTATGTTTTGATTTAAACTAAAATATATTTGATATAGTTATTAAAAAAAAACTTAAAATATCTTTTAGGTATTTTGAGTATTTTTAAAAACAAAAAAATAAAATATGAAAATTAGGGGCATTTACAATACAAACTACCACTTAATTTTTTTTTTCTTTTTTTATTTTCTGAATTCTTATGTATTTATATATTTAACAGCTAAACTTTAATATTTATATCTTTAACACTTAAAAACTTTAACATAACATCATATACCACAACAATTAATTTGTTTAGAAGTGAAACACATTATCATACATTGTTTATGAAACCAAATCAAACTTTTGGTGTTAGATAAGTATATACAAAAAATCTGTGCTATGTATGTTAGTTTTCCTAAAAATTATGCCAACCAAACATATTTTATAAAACAAAAGAAAAAATAAAAACAGAAACAAGAAACAATGGTGATGTCAAATGGCACTAAATTATAACTATTTGGGATAAGCGCTATGATAAAAAATCAAACTTGTAAAATAAAAAAAAAAGGCCAAAAAAAAGGAAAAAAAAAGAAAGAGATAAAAAAAAAAAAAAGGCCAAAAAAAAGGCCAAAAAAAAGGAAAAAAAAAAGAAAGAGAAGTGAAATAGGTTATATGAAAGTCGTGACCTTGTATCAAGGATTGAATTTCCCTGGAAACATCCTCAACGCGTCCAGTTACAGGCCTGATACCACATGACTGCGTCACACAAAACTCCAAGTACAGGGATCTCTCCAGTATCTGTAACATCAGAAGGCATACACTCTCCGTCTCTTCAGTAAAATCTGAACTTCTTGCTTCACACACATCCACAACAATGGCGATTGCTTGGTCCTGCACCATGATTCAGCAATTTTAGAATTAATTTATTTGTCGATTTTGGCAAAGCATTCTCTTTGAACTATAAGCTTAGCCCCCACAAACAAACCTTGTCCTCAACGTGAAATCACATAATAAAATAAAATGAACCCACAAAAGAAACGTGCAAAAATTTTCGATGTCATAAATATCCAGCCATAATGCTGGCAAAGGTGCGAGAGAGAGAGAAGCCAAACATTCTGTTTAAGATCTTTGTGTGGCATTTGAAGTGGCAACCATTCGTCCAGTCGTTCCTTTGTGCCTTGCAATAGTTGCAATGTAATTGGAGTTATTGGCGCTGAAGCTTGGCGCCTCTTAATAAAAATTGAAGGCATTATAAAGTCTATTGGTTGAGCAATGGAGGCGGTCATGATTGTCGGTTGAATTAAGCAAAGATGCTAGCGCTGTCACGACCCGGCCAGAGGCTTGGAATTAACCAAAATGGGAATAGACAGTAGGACGGTGAAAAATAAATTTTCTATATTCATCTACAATTTAACAAATAAAAGAACCACTAATGAAATTAAAATCAAACAATAAAATTACATTTACCTCACTATTGATTGTCCATGTCTTCTATAAACATTATCTCTTTTAACACTCATCTTCAATCACGTAATTAATATAAATTGTTAGTTCAAAATAACAAAAATTTAAACAAAGTCATTGAATACTCAAACTCAAAAATATAAAAATAAAAGAGAAAAATGAAGCAATATGCATGATAATGACTTTTTTAATAAATAAAAAAAAGTATTTGATGTTATTTGAAAAACCTCAATATATCAGTAGCAGATTAATATTATTTTATATATGTACAACCGTCACAAAAAAACCGTTTAAAAATTGTATCAATTAAAACACATCAATATCAATGTCATTTTCAATATACGTGCACGAATTCCTTAGTATTCCCCCATTAATACCATAAAAGAGTGACTCCATTACTTCATCATAGTTTGTCTTGCACATACAAACAATCAATATAAATATATCATTCATGCGCTCATCGCATTCAATTCAATGTACTATATATATAACATACATCAATGCAGACTATGAGTAATTGTATGTATTCCTAATCATGTGACCAATAAACAAAAAAATATATATATAAATAAAGTTTGTGCGAATAACATTATTTACTAATTGCATAAAAATTGAGATAAACCAAAATATAACGATAGATTAAAAGTATGAGTACTCACCTTGATGACAATTAATTTGAACATGAATTTGTCTTAACGACGACTCTTCTAAATTAGAAACCTAACATAAACATGATATTTATATAATTTATTATAACCTTTCTAAAAATATTCATGATTTGGTGACTGCGGTTTTGGAGTGACTAATGAAGAAGGTAGAGTCATTTTAAATTTTGTTTTAGCGTATAATTTTGTTATTACTTATTTTTTATAACAATAAAAATAAATTTTCTATAATCATCTCTTTGCTTGAGTAAAAAGAGATGAGCATGTTATTACTTATAATAATGGATCATATAAAACATATTGATTATTTTTTTTATGAGAAGAAGAGATCGTCGAGATTGTACATATTGAAAGGTCATTCCAAGTGAGGATTTAAGTGTCCAACATCAATTATTAATTCTAAATTTTAAGATAAAAAATTGCAAAATAAAGATTACAAGGAGTCATCATCATAAAATTAAATGGGAGAACTTAAAAGACAAATAAAACTATTTTTTTTAGTAAAATTCAAGATTGCAAAATTTGGGATGTTCATAAAGAAGAACATGATATGTGAGATAAAATAATAAACAATACTAAACAATTAGTAAAAGATGTACTTGGAGAACCAAAAAGAAAAAATTTTAAAAAATAAAAATAGTTGATAGTGAAATAATAACGTGCAAGAAAAGATAAAAAATAAGAGAAAGATAAAATAGAAGAAGTTATGTTATAAAAATTGGTTTAAATATAAAAGCTTAGAGAAATGAGAAAAATATCAAATGACCTACAAAATATAAGGCGGCCCGCAGAGAGTCTAAAAGAACAATATGTGACGTTAAAAATTTTTCTTTTAGCTAAAAATTCTACTTTTAATGATCTTTATAATGTATTGGATACTAAAAATGGTGAAAAATATATGTATAAACTAGCCAAACAAAGAGAAGAAAATTAAAGATTTAACTCAAATAAAGTGTATTAAAGATAAAAATTAAAAATGATTTTCTTAGAAAAAGATATTCAATAGATATTCAATATAAGTGAGTTATTTTGATAAATTTTTTAATAAAATTTTTGAAAATACGATCGACCTTAGTGATCTTAATATCGTTAGCTATAATAAAACGTTTCATTTTTACCGTTGCATTAGTAAAAAAAATTTGAGGCTTTAAAGGAAACCAAGGGTGAAAAGTCTGTAGGATCTAATGATATCCCAATTGATGTGTGGAAATATTTAGGAGATTAGGGAGTTTTTTGGCTTACTAAACTCTTTAATAATATTTTAAAAACTAAAACATGTCTGATGAGTAGAGGAAAAGTATTTTGGTCCCCATTCTTAAGAATAAATGAGATGCACAAGAGTGTGCAAATTATAGAGGAAAATTATAGAGGAAGAGAGGAAGTAAGTTGATGTGTCATACTTTGAAATTATGGGAGAGTGTAATTGAACATAGTTTAAGACGTATTAGAAAGATTTCTCATAATCAATTTGGATTTATGCCGAGCAGGTCTACTATGGAAGCTATACATTTATTGAGAGGTTTGATGGATAAGTTCAGAGATGATAAGGAGGATCAACATTTGATTTTTATTGATTTAGAAAAAGCTTGCGATAAGCTTTCAAGAGATATCCTTCTGAGAGTTCTTGAGAAGAAAGGTGTTGATATGACTTATATTCAAGTCATTAAAAATATGTATGTTAGAGTTGTTACTTGTGTTCGAACTGAAGGAAGATTGACAATATTTTCCTATTTCTGTTGGGTTACATCAGGGATCGACTTTAAGCCCATATCTTTTTGCTTTAGTTATGGATGGTCTTACTGGACATTTACAGGAGGATGCACCTTGGTGTATGCTTTTTGCTGATGATATCATTCTCGTAGATAAGACAAGAGAAAGAGCCCAAGCAAAAACTTGAATTATGGAGGTCTACATTGGAGTTTAAAGGCCTTCATTTGAATAGAACTAAAACTGAATACATGGAATGTAATAGTAGTAGCTCTAGTGACAGAAGTGTAACTTGGGAGATCAAATTATTAAAAGGTGTGAACGATTTAAATATCGCGAGTCTGTTATTCAAAACGATAGTGATATAGATGGGAATGTTAATAGTAGAATTCAAGTTGGTTGGTTGAAGTGGAGGAATGCTTTAACATTTTGTGTGATAGAAAAGTTCCGCTTAGGCTGAAAGGAAAATTTCATAAGATGGTAGTGAGACTTGCTATGCTCTATGGAACTGAATGTTGGCCTTTAAAAGAGAAACATAATACTAAGTGTTGCCTAGATGAGCATGATTAGGTGGATGAGTAGCTTTACACTTAGAGACAAAATAAGAAATGAATATATTTGTGATAGGGTTGGTATAGCTCCAGTGACGGACAAAATTAGAGAGAGTCGTCTTAGATAGTTTGGTCACATTGAACATCGACCATCTGATGATCCGATTAGAGCAGAGGTAGACCTAAAAAGACTTAGACTTATTGTATAAAAAATGATCTTAATTTATTAGAACTAAATGAAAATTTGACACTAAATAGGGCGCAATAAAGAAAAAGGATTCGTGTAGCTGACCCCACCTAGTGGGATTAAGACTTTATTATAGTTATTGTAACCTTTTTTAAAATTTATTACCTTTTCAATTAAGTATTAAATTTAATTTATCTAATCGTTTGGTCACATTGAACATCGACCATCTGATGATCCGATTAGAGCAGAGGTAGACCTAAAAAGACTTAGACTTATTGTATAAAAAATGATCTTAATTTATTAGAACTAAATGAAAATTTGACACTAAATAGGGCGCAATAAAGAAAAAGGATTCGTGTAGCTGACCCCACCTAGTGGGATTAAGACTTTATTATAGTTATTGTAACTATATATATATATATATATATATATATAGATGCAAATAGGGGTATAAATACCCATTATAGGATCTAGTACGAAAATAAATAAAACAGAATAAAAGAAAAAAATAAAGTAAATAACAACAAATCCAAGCATTTAATACATAATTTTACATATTAATATTTTGTTAGAGCATAAATGTCAGTCATGTTCAACTTGGATTTAAAATCATCGAATGGTGACCGAAAAAGGTTCTACATGAGAACATTTGTCAGTTGGCGACTAGACAATACAAACATAATACAAATTTCCCCAGAATCAAACTTTTCCTTAATGAAGTGTCGGTCAATCTCAACATGCTTAGTGCGATCATGCTGGACCGGGTTGTGACCAATGCTAATGACAGTCTTATTATCACAGAACAATTGTATGGGAGCAGAGATTGTCATACGTAGTTCGTGGAACATGATATCTAACCCGAGAACTTCACATATTCCTAGGGACATGAATCAAAATTTGGCTTCCGCACTGCTCCGAGCAACTACAAACAACCTGCTTTTCCACATGACCAAATTTCTACACACAAATAAGCAGTACCCCGAGGTAGATCCCCGATCAAGGACCCAACCCAATCCGTGCTCGTGTAAACTACAATAAAACGAGAGGTGTGGCGAGAAAAAAATAAATCTGAACCCAGTATATCTTTTAAATAGTGGAGACAGGACAACTTGGAGGTGGTGCTCACAGGGATCATGCATGAATTGACTGACTATCCCAAGTACGTGACATATGTTGGGGCGTATATGGTCAAGGTAGATGAGTTTCCGCACAAGAGGGTAGTGAGTCTTGATTATAGGAACTATATTAAGAACATCAATAAGTTTTTCATTTGGACAGTCACTAGTTTGCACAAGAGAAAAGATTATACTCTGTCAA